GGTGACAACAACAATGTTCTGTCTTCCAGGTTAGCCATTTCTGCCTCTGCAACAAGGTAGAGAATAAAGAAAAGTGTCAGGCATTTACTGGAGTGGTACAAGGAACTGACCATTTTAACTTCACTGATTGATCATATCTTGAAGTGATCGATTGTTTAGCCCCACTGATGAGCTGTGAAACATCAAAACAGTCTGTCTGTGGATGACGATATTAGCTCTCGAAAAATAATTAATTCTGTCGAGCATTATGGGGAGAAAAGTGCAAATTTGTAAACAGTCACTATTGCTGCTAATAATGCAAGACTCTCCAAACTCGATTGAGTTCTCCAGTTCACTGACATGTTTATGATAGAATAAATATCCAAAAATTCACCTTTCTTCCTGCTAGGTGTTGATAGCCTAGGGGTCAGAATCTCCAACTGATACCAAATCAGTTGGGTTTTGATCCTGGCTTGAAACGATCTGATGTCTAGCCACACTGATGAGCTGTGAAACAGCAAAACAATCTATCCGTGGATGACTATATATATATATATATATATATATATATTCTACTTGAGGCCTGAGGTGAGTATAAATCTTGATCAGCATTCAAGGCAGGTGGGGGATTACTTGAGAGATCACCCATTTAGTGTGTTTGGTGATGGTGGAACATTATTAGTTTGCTAGATAAATTTTTATATTTCCAATTGGTAGTTCATATTTTTTTTTTTACTGCCAACCATTCATTCTCAGTTATCAGGCATCTCAATATGGTGCAATTGTTAGCAAGCATGATTCACAAGAACAATTATGACTGAGTAATGAGTTTGATGTTCACTGTGTGCTGCATACTTTGGCCTTGTGTCACACCTAATCTATGCTCAGAAAATCACCATTCATTCTCAGTTCCTAGAATTGAAAGACAGTCAGACAGAGACACACACATACCCACCATTTCTTGGCTTTACCATAATTTCAAAATCTCATACTGAGGTAGTTAATTTCTTATATAATGCAGTCTTTTCATGACCATTCTTTAATGTGCTGTGCCTCTTCATGATGTAGACATCTTCATGTACCTTGTAGCCCTTAATAAGTTTTATTTTTTTCTTATTTCTCCCAAACCCTGTTCTACCATCCATTTACTCAAGCTCATCAAGTATGTTCATCACTGTTTTCCTCTGTCTGTTTAACCTTCAATCTGTCCTGTCAGTATCACATTTTCCAAGCCCTCCTTCCTCATTATGTCCCCCAGAAATTTTAACTGCCTTTTCGTGATGCTAAGTATAAGTACCCTCTTTGTTTCCATTCTCTTCAAAACCTTGTTGTTCAGATGTTCAATCCATGGTATCATCAGTATCTTTCTGTAGAACTACATTTCTGTTGCTTTAAGTTTCTTCATCTTTGAGGCGATTATTCAGCAATTTTACATTAGATATGTAGTGAAAGAGATAATCACCTACCTCGAAAAAGAGTTTGTGTTTTGTGTGCAATCTGACAATAAAAGATTATCGAAAATAGTTAGCAAAAATCAGAACATCAGAATCTATGCTAATTTTCTTTCCTCCCCTGAATGGTGCAGCCAATCAGAAAAATCACTCAATGAATAAAAGCCGTTGTCTTTTGCTTATGAGGGTAAGATTTTTTTCTGAGCTTGGTGGACGAACATGCTTTTTTGCTGGTGAAGGTTGGATTTGTGATCCCATTTCATCGTTTCTACATTGCCTGTTGGACTGTTACGACAGACTATCATTTGAATTGTGATTGGGCTAGAAGTGTTGTGGTCGAGAGACAGAAGAAACCTATTGCAGACGTTTATTGCTACTATAAATTTACAGTTTTTTTTCTCTTTTCTTTACTATAACAAGATAACACATGAAGGGCTGACTTGTAAAATCAACCAACCTAACCTTAATATTAAAAGCTAACACACACACACACACAAATGAATGAATACTGATAACATCTCCAGCATGTCACAGAGAGAGAGAGAGAGAGACTGCTAAACTAAGATGTTTGGTAAATCTAAATATATAATCTTATATATAAACTTTTGGGGCTTCTGTTATTCCATCCAACACCTCCTCTAAAATAGCCATATATTGATCGATCAAAACCAACTTTTGGGAGAAGTGTGAATAAGTAAATGGATCAAAAGTACAGTTGGTTTTATTAGGGTGCATAGCTTAGTACACTAAATTTTCATTAATTCTTTTGGAAAAATTAAGTTTTATTATTTAACATACAAAATACTCCTACTATTTAACTTAACAATTTAATGATTAAAATAATAAATACAAATTTATAAAAATGCAATATTGATTTTGCATATCTTTTCTTTAAGTTTTCATATATACAAGAATCCAGTTTCCAGTTTTCCCTGCATTTGTATGAACTATAAACAAATCACAAGGCCAAACACTTCAGAAAGTTGGAATTTGGCTCCAGAAATATTTATGCATGTATGTTGTATGCTCAAGAGTAAGAAATCCTAGGAATTTATTCTTCACAGTTAAAAAGGAAAAAAAGAAATTCTTAAAAAATATTGTTTACCATGATGTACTATAAAATTAATATAAAGAAATTATTAAACCACAAATTAGAGTTTTTATCAAAGTTTTTTTACAAACTAATCAGCTTATCCAAATTTTATTGATTGGTTTACAAAACTGAACAAAACAGAGTTTGTAAATCTCAATAAAAAATGTTAGTGGTAACTTCAACAATACTAAACACTGTGAAGATTTCAACATGCATGAGCATGTTGCAAAAAATCCTAATCATTTAAACTGCACCAATATATATAAGAACGTATTCATATATATAGAGGTACGATGGTGTAATAGATAGCAGCTCGGATTGAGGAATCAGAGAGCTGAGTTCAAATCCCAATCAAATCCATTGCATTTACTTATGTACTAATACCTTTGGGAAAGGTATGAATCCTCTTCTTCTCCCCCACCCCAGCTATGTCAAATCTGTTAAACATGGACACATGGCACAGTGGATAAAGGTGTTGCTTAGATCCAGTGACAGGACCCAAGCAGTGTGAGTTAAATACCCTGTTAAGGCAGTGGAGAACTTGGACAGGGGAATTAACAGAAGATAACTGATAACTGACATCCATTAAAAACATGGCACGTGGAACTAGAACAGTCTACCCCAGTGAGTGAAATAAAGGGTTCAGTTTGACATTCCAACCACCTGAAGAAGGCCGGAGTGTACAACAGCCAAAACGATGTAATAAATATGGCAACAAAGATGAGGACAATAGTCCAAATAATGTAAATAGTGTACATAATACCTCATCTCAGAAATATAGACAGATAATGGAGAGTAATGTGGCTAACCTTTCTGTTCTTGCCCATGAAGTGTTGGCAGGGATTTTAAATTCAGAATTGTCCTTCTACTACACTGGCTTCCCTACCAACACTAAAGCTTCCATCTTACCCAGGGTGGAGTAGATGGAAGAAGTTTATTCATAGCTTTTCCAAGGATAGTATAAAGAGATTATAAACTCCCAGCCAGAATTTTAACTCTAGCTTGCTGATTCTGTTTTCCATGGAGATAACCATTTACACCATTAGGGTAGTTTGATTTTTGGTATTGATCTCAAAATGAAAGCTGGGGTTTGACATTATAAATAATGACAAAAAATAGTTTTTTCAAAGTTGTTACTGATTTTTGAGGAAACGGGTTTAAAGATTAGGTTTAGGTTTAAAGTTGTAGCATTGGAATTTCCTTCCAGCAATCAGTGAAACTCTTATAGCAGAGCCTTATAAAATTTATAATTTACTGACGCTTTACAAATTGTAAATGGACAAGATGCATGGCAAAAGCACATTATTACTAAATCATTGTGCCATCAAATAAGACATAATTTACATCAATAATAATTTTACATCAAAAGGAAATTATACTGGACAATTTAGCAATATGACATAATATGTTATACAGTGCAATAGTTTTTGTGCTATTTTCAATAAACAATGTAATTTTTTTTTTTAAATTCCTATAATTTGGGCCCAGCAGTATTATGGTGCAATATACACTTTTTTTGTTTTGATTTTTGAATTTGTTAGGTTATAGTTATATCTTAAAAAATGATATAATATCTTATTTATTGGGTAGCCATTTTTGTAATCTTTTACAATTTCTACACACTTTTTACTTATCAAATATAGTAGAAAATTACATATTTTTCTTGTAGTGAGTCATAATCAGAATTCACATTTAAATATATTTTCCATTTAATGTATCTAATATAAAAAATATGAATTTTATCTGTATTTATTCTTGAAATAATAAAATTTTAAAAACAGTTTGTAAGCAAAAACCTACAGAAATTAGATATTTCTGTGCATTTTCTCAAGCACTTTTTAAAACTAAATGCTCACAAATTACTAAAAGCTAAGAATCTACCTTTTAGTGTGAATACTGATCATATGAAATCCCAGCTTTTGCACTGAGTGCAATATTGACTTTCTAAAGAAAATGAAAATAACAAAACGACCTATTATACCTTACACACACCCAATATCAATACAATTTTCCACATATAGTTATTAAAATAATTTCCCCAGAACTCAGAACAATTTCAGAAATGTAATTTGTAAATGCTCATAAATATTGAGAAAAACACAATGCTCTCTCTCAAGAAAAGAAAAGAGTGTTTACCTATCAATTATAAATATATACATGTCAAGGGGGAATTTTTTATGACGTTATCTTTTCTTTCAATGTATAATCTTTATAAATACCTGTTCTTTTAGAAACGATTGATTCATTCATTTTTTATGGCTTATCAACTGTTTACAGGTTATTTAAAGCCAGAAATATTTTTATAGTGTAAGAATTTATTTTTTGAAGATAATGGTTTAATGATACATTGCTGGGAGGAGAAAAGTTGGATTCATAGCTTTCCCAAGGGTATTTGTGCACAAGTGAACATAATAAATCCAACTGGAATTGGAATTCTCTGACTAACCATTTTCCATTACACCACCCACACACCCAAG